GAGGTTCGGGACGAGCATTATTGCAGTTTTCATAAACCTTGCCCTCTTCATAAGAGTTGAGCATAAAACCCAACCCGGGGGACAGGGGAGACGCAGGGAAATGACGCCGGGAAATGCGAAGGGATCCAGCCTCAATTGGTTATTTCTATATTTCGTCTATAAGGATGTGCAATAGAGGTTGAGTGATGAGGGAGGGCGTGCGTCCGGATTGGGACAAGGCGAACAGTGCGCCACTAGCAATCTAGACGCATGTCCTCTCACCTACTACTACAGCTCTCTATGGATACAAGAAGGGTTGGCTGAGGCTGGGCGTATTTATGTTTCCCCGCGCCCTCTCCCCTCAATCTTCCCTAACGCAACAAGTTTGGGTTTATGCTCAACTGTTAGCGAGTGGGCAAGGTTTATGAAAACTGCAATAATACAAAGATACTGTGAATAGCCAACGACATGATGACTCTTACTATGTCAAGACATGGTTGCTCCAACTTCGCTCCCCTTCTTTAAACCGTCATAAAATACGAGCTTTAAAACGCGAGACAAGATCTCTCCATCTATAAGCAGGGCATTGGTGTCGCATCTCCCAAACTTGTCTCCGGATTTTTGTCAGATAAAAATAGTAGCCATACCAGATCAACGCCTCCTCCGCCATCTCCTCAAATGATTTCTCCTCTTCGTGCCATTCGATTAAACCTACCGCTCCAGTCTGACGACATGCGTTCTCGGCTTCTTGTCTTGAAACAGCAGCACCTTCCTGCTGGGGACCACCTAAACTCGCTTGAGGTTTGAAATGACACTCTACAAGGAAAATGGGAGCCGATACCATGAAATGTAGGACGAAAGGGTACCACTAAAGAAAGCACTCTTAGAAGATTGTCACGGCTTAAGGTAAAGGGCAAATTGTCCACACGCACTCTGTAAATGGCATTATGAAGCGTCTGAGGGTCCGAAGGGTCGTAACAGATCACGATAACATCGCCCAGAGTTTGCGACAGGGTTACTCTTATGTATAAGTCGTGGGTTTCTCGTCGATAAGTCATGAAACCGACGTTTAGGCCGACAATTCCTTCCTCTTCTACGCCCTCTTCCTTCATGGCTTCATCTGGAAGGAGAAAGTTATGGTGCTCCGGAGGGTGGTCCTGCTGGGATTGATGCTCGAGTTTGGGTCTGCCATCCGGCCAAATTGGCGAAGCAGCGATCGGAAGTTGAAGTTGAACATAATGAGTCTATAGTTGATATTGTTCAGAATAGCTTGCTCTTAAGTACAACCGTATAATCACCTGTACAGGAATACTGAACAATGTCATATCGCCAAAAATTAAAACCGTGAGGGGTATATTGGGTTTCTGATGGCCCTGCCGTGAATCATTGTGACGAGGAACAGACATTCTAATAGCCGTATTCCTTGGTATTTGTCTTCTCAAGTGAGATTTACGCGCCGAGTTCCGGGGTAGGATGACAAGACCGATAGTTGGTAGTTTTAGGAAACAGAGATATGGCTTCGCGTGCTTGAGCTTTTATACGAAGCAAGAATTAGTTCTATGAGGATGTGAGGGAGCACTTTTCGCAAAGCTTCGTAGTCCGGCTCCTAGAGACAGCTTCTATGTGGGGAAAGAAGAGATTAGGCGCGCGGCCGCGCCCAGGCACCTCAACTAACCTCAACCAGTCCGTTGGCTCATTTCAGCCCTGAGGATAATCCCTATTCTTGCTCATCATAAATGAAATCTTCGAAAATATAAATGATAAAATAGTTCAAGCCGAATCCATCTATATACAATTCTGTCACGAATAAATTGTGAATATCCTCATGCCATATTCGCTGTGGTAGGACTAAAGCAATGTCATAGGTTAAAACATGCTCCTCCACCGTGTACGTACTCTCTTACGAAGCTGTCCCAACCGGCTCCGCCGACGGTATCGTGATCTGGACAAGTGGCAATAGTATCCATACCAGAACAATGCCCGCGTCAGTGCCATAGCATTGTGGTCGTTGTCTTCAGACCATTCGAATGAACCCGTTGCCTCAATTTGACGAGCCGCTGCCTGTGACTGCTGCTTTGTAACAAAGTGACGGCGATCAACCAACAATCGATCATCAGAAGTTCGGCGATTGTTCCATTTGCATCCAACCAGACATATGGGAGCCTTTCCGGTAAAGCGCATGATGATTGGATGCCACTAGAGATGGAATGATCAGAAAGTTACCATTAGAACGTAGTGATATACCTTTGAGATGTCACTACTGACCTTGTATATGGCATTATGAAGAGTCTCGGGTGCCGAGCAATCATAGCAAATGATAATGATATCGACCACTCGGAGCAGATGGTCAAACGGCATAAACTCCTCCAGGTCAGTATCTTCTCCATAGAACTGATCAAAGCTGATAGTAGCCTTCATGACTTCCTCGTCTATTTTCCTTTCCTTGCGGGAAGAGATTATGGATTGTGCCGTTTGTGCGATTGGGCGGTGCCAATGATGGCGCAGACTCTCATGCTT